TACACACACATTTACACACACACACACACACACACACACACACACACACACACACACACACACACACACACACACACACACGTGGTGTTAGTCAAAGTGAGTCTGACAGAGATTCAGGAAGAGAAACACCGGAGGGAGACGACAGAGCTGAGAGGGGGTTTCTGCAGACCGTCTCATGGGGATCAGGCTCTCTGCTCAGGTTTGTCTTTCTCATAAAACCGTCGCCTCAGTAAGACGAGGTCAGTTCAGATCAGTTCAGATCAGTTCAGATCACTTCAGCTGGAGCTCGACTGGTTTTTAAAGAGAGACAGAAATCTGCTCAAACTCTGTAGGACAGGAGAAACTGTGAAATCAAAAATAGAAGAATCTAAAGAGCTGTAAATTAAAAAAACAGTGAGAGGGTTAAAGTGAGCGATCAGACTCCGGACGGCTTCGGTGGGCTCACACGTCTTTGTTCTGTGGTCTTACTTTATCTCGTAGTTCCTCCGCTTGTCGGACTTCTTCGTGGAGGTTGCACAGGCGGTTGACGAGGTCCTGTCGGTCTTCAAGGGCTTCCTGTCGGTCATGCTCCAGAATGTCCAGGATAGCTTTGTCTGAGGCGGGTAAGGGTCCGGGCTTCGGTTTCAGAGACACAAACATGAATCAGGTCAGAGACTCAAACAGATTTAGAAGCTGAGAGACGAAGGAACGAAGAAAACCAACAAGAACCATCTCCACCACCTTCAGTCCACTCTGCACCTCTCTGCTTACACTCCTCATCTTCACAGACCTTTTCATCCAGGTACGCTGTCCCTGCAAGAATCCTCCTCTCCTCTCCTCTCCCTGTTTTCCCTTCCTCCTCCTCTCTCTTCTTCTCCTCTCCCTCCTCTCCTCTCTTCTCTCCCTTCCTCTCTCCTCTCTCCCTCTCCTCTCATTGCTCTTGTCTCTCTTCTCCTTCTCTTCTCTCCTCTCTCCTCCCCCCTCTCTTCTCCCTGCTCTCCTCCTCTCTCCTCCTCCTCTCCTCTCCCTACTCTCTCCTCTTCCTTCCTCCTCTCCTCTCTTTCCTCCTCTCCTCTCCTCTCCTCTCCTCTCCTCTCCTCTCCTCTCCTCTCCTCTCTCCTCTCTCCTCTCTCTCCTCCTCCTCCTGCTCCTCCGTACCTGTATGATGGACTGGAGCTCCTGCAGTTTGATCTTCAGCATCTCGTTCTCCCTCTCCTCTCATTGCTCTTGTCTCTCTTCTCCTTCTCTCCTCTCTCCTCTCCCTTCATCTCCTCTCTCCTCTCTCCTCTCCCTTCTTCTCCTCTCTCCCTTCCTGTCTCCTCTCTCTCCCTCTCCTCTCCTCTCCTCTCTCCTCTCCTCTCCTCTCTCCTCCTCTCTCTTCTTCTCCTCCTCTCTCCTCTCCCTTCTTCTCCTCTCTCCTCTCTCCTCTCTCTCCTCCTCCTCCTGCTCCTCCGTACCTGTATGATGGACTGCAGCTCCTGCAGTTTGATCTTCAGCATCTCGTTCTCCCTCTCCATCTCAAAGATCTGCTCCCTCTTGGGTCGGTTCTCGATGTCGTTCTTCAGCTTCAGACTCTGTTTCCTCTCCATCTTACACTCCTCCTCCACCTTGTTCAGTCTGTGTTTCAGCTGATCGATCTGAGCGCGCACACACACACACACACACACACACACACACACACACACACGCACACACACACACACACACACGCACACACACACACACAGATTAAGCAGATACTCCGATCACTTCAGGAACAGGACATCAGTTTGTCCTCCATCTCTACCTCCAGCTGCAGATCGCGGCTCCTCATCACCGCCATGTTCTTCTCCTCGCTCAGCGTGGCGTACCTCATGGCCAGTTTGTAGTTTTCATCTTTCACTCTCAGCAGCTCGTCACTGTAGGTGTTTCTTTCTTCTCTCAGTTTGTTGTACCCTAGAAAACCAACAGAAGAAGAAACATCGACAACAGATCTGAGCAGAGAAGGTCTGCCCACACTCAGTTTTTACAACCTGCTGAAAATCAGGATTCAGGCCTGAGAGGTCACGGCGACCTCCTCACACACGGCTCTGTCAGATTTCTACGCCTACGAACCGCCGTTGTTAACAGGAGCGCCGTAGAACGGACTGATGGGAGCGGGTGAAACTATAACAAGGTGAAATAATCCGAGTTTTCTTCTTCTTGTTGGACGGATTTTAAAGTGTTTAATGATTTCATTCAGAAAAACTGAAAACAAAAACCCTCTGATTCAGAATATTTACTGAAAATATAAAGTTCTTTACTTTGACAGTTTATAAACCCGAGTTCATCTCTGTAGGTGAGATTTTAGAGACACATGAAGCTGCTGCTCCATCTGTCATGTTGTCATGATCTAAAACTCGTGTTTTTAAATATTAGATCATACTTTCTTCCACTTTAAGAAGCTCATGAGTGGAGCGGATACTTTCTACGACAGGAAGCGTCGCATCCATGTCTTCCTTAGATTTGACGCCGTGCCCCGTTGACAAATGTTGAATTTCTGGTGTTTCCACCGTTTCATGTTCTCTCTGCTCCACAAACGTCTCTGTTATCGTCTTTCTCAGTAAAATTAAAAAACGCTTCAGATCGTTTCTGACGACTTTTCGTACTGTCTGCCATGTTGTTTTCTCTGTGTCTGTTCCTGTTCACGTAGACTGGCGATCATGAGACCGTTTTTAAACGGGAATCGTTAAGATAAAATGTAATGATGTCGATGGATTGAACCAGTTAGAACCGGTTCTGGATCCAGTCCCTATCCTTAAGTCTTGAACATGCAGTAAATTCAGACAGAGCGCCGTGTGCCGCGTGTCCGTCAGAGGTTATGAAAACATGTTTACTCTGTTGAAAGGCCTGAAGCTCCTGATTGGCCAACCGCAGTTTTTTCTGCTCATCCTCCAAAGTGCAATTCTGCCTGCTGAGCTCCACCTGCTGCAGGGTCTTGGCTTTAAACTGCTGCTGCAACTTCATCACCTCATTCATGAGGAACTGAGTTAGGCCCTCATGACCCTCCTCCACTGCAGCCGAGAAGAAGAAGAAGAAGAAGAAGAAGAAGAAGAAGAAGAGACAGGAGGGAAACGACAAGAATAGACGTGTTAAAATAAAACATCTGAAACTTATTGTGCAACAGGCTGTCCAGCACGAGGAAATCTGTGACATCATGTGTGTGTGTGTGTGCGTGCGTGCGTGCGTGCGCGCTCACCTACAATGGTTGAGAAGCGTCGTGTGGGATCTTTTCCAGTGACTAACTTGTACAGATCCGGATAGTAAAACTCCAGACTCTCTAGAAATGCCACATACCCACGCTCGCCTTTAGTGCGAAGGATGTCGAGGAGACGACCTGGAGGGGGGGGGGAACATCAGTATCTACTCTGGACTTTGCTGAGATGTCCAGCAGAAGTCATTGGGACATGTTTTTTTTTACTTCTTCCTTTAACTGTTAATTTAAAGTTTGACCCCCTGTGAGTCAGGACATGGGGCTCTATTTTCATGCCCGCCGGCGACACGGCGGAGGGTGTTGGACCCCGCGCGGTGATATTTTCGTCTGGCAGGGCCCGGCATACAGCCAGGTTGGTATTTTCGTGGACTGAGGCTCACCGAGGTCCGCCAACATCTATGAAAGAGCCAGGCCACGGAGCGCCCTCTGCAGCGTTTACAGAGACACTTGTTGAGGGGCGACCTTCTGTCGCCATCGTGTGGCGTTGTTGTCTTCAGACATCTCTTGATCTCTTTGACTACTTCACGAAAATTGTAACACGCCTCGCTGGTGGCGGATTTAAAGGTGAGGAGAGGAGCGGTTCTGATTGGTGAAAACAGGTGTCGCTGTGTTAAATCCACTCCACGCCCTCTCTCCTCCCTCTCTACGACTCACGCCGCTGGGAGGAGCTGAGTTAGGGAGGGGGGGGAACTTACGCCGGGCTGCACCGCTCACCAAAATATCAAAATGTGGCACACCTTGTCGGCGCGGCGGAACTGACTTACGCCACATCGCCGGCGAGGAACGAAAATAGAGCCCCTGGTCTCAGATCAGCTAACAGGGATTTTCTGGTCCAGAATCTTCTCAGAAATAAAGGATCAAAGAGGGTTTTTCAGTCCAGGCCTCAAACCTCTGAGACCTGTCCCTGCTCTGACTGTATTTTAACGTTTGTGAGGAACTTCGTACTGAACAAAGAGTCACGTTATTAATGCTCAGGAAGTAAATCAATTAAACCTGTAAACCTCCAAACTCACTTGTGCGGTTTGTTTTGGAGACGAGCAGCATGGAGTTGAGGATCTCGTCTTCGTCCTGCTCATCCAGGACTTTGCATTGACGAAGGTACGGCGTGAGTTTTGCAGGGGAGATGTTGCGACACAGTTCGGTACGTTTGCATTCCACCTTCTCCCACATCGCCTCCACATCGTTCTCCATCTCTGAAACCCTGAAAAACCTCAGACAGTTACCAATGAAACACTTGAACCTTTGGCTGGTATCGGCTGCTACCATCATGTCACCTATTGATTACTGATCAGACTCAGAAGAGGGGGCAGAATTCCTGATATCAACCGTTTCAGTTCTCAGCGGTGAGGGCAGCTGGAAACACTGAAGCTGTTAAAGTTCGGCCCGATGTCTGCAGCCAATCAGAGCTCCTTTTACATTTTAGATCTGACTGAGACCTGCGGCTTCTCCAAATATGAGGATCTTCCTAAAAGGAGCTGAACCACAAGTTTGTTGGTAAAATTACAACATGTGAGCTAAGAGGATTTTTTCAGCAGAGACTCTTGTGTAAAAAGTTTCACCAAAACCTGCTAAAATGATGTTTTCACAGCTGCTGCTTCACAATCATTTAAGAGTTTTTTCAGCCGTGAATTCTGCAATAAGACTCTGCATGTGCTGTGCAGCGATCCACCAATCACATCCATTCTTTACTCAGTTGCTACCCTGCCAGCCGTCAATCAAAATCAGAGAGGAGGAAACCCCGCCCCCGCACATGGAGTGAGTCACTGATGCTGTCGGTGTTGTGCCGAGAAACTGAGAATGACTTTGGGAACATTCCTCATCGCTGTTTATCCCACAAATATCCATTTTATGGGTTTTAAATCGAACATTTCCATGGACCACTCTGCTATAAGCGTTTCTGCTAGGTGGATGAGATTCTCGGCGGACATGCGTTTCTCGGCACAACATCGAAAACAACAACAACAACGATTACAAAACGAGCAACGAACAGAGAAAACCACCGAAGAAGAAGACGTGTCGGTAAAAACAAAGTCAGTTATCAGGAAGTATTTCAGTTCTAAGAAGGATGATGTCGACTAAAACACGTGTTCTGTGTTCATCTGTTTCCACGGTAACGTCCAGAACAATAAAAACTAAAACTATCTCTGAGACAGAAGACAGTCGACTAACAGATCTGAGCAGGTAAGATCTCAGCTGTGCAGCACAACATCAAGTGGTTTTCAGGTCATGTGGTGAAAATTCCTCTTTTTTTAATATCCTAATATTTATCGCAGGGTTAAAAAAAATCGCAGTGTTGGTTTTTTTCTGATATCGTGCAGCTGGAGTGACAACAGTCTGATAAACTTCACTGTCGTTCCATTTTCCTTCTTCTGTTTTCTTCAACTTATCGACACTTTAACACAAACTTCAACCTGATACTTATTTTCCTCTCACTCCTACATGATCTCACACACACACACACACACACACACACACACACACACACACACACACACACACACACATGCTGTCAGTGCGTCTCCTGGATTTGCATTTTGTCGAGTCGGTGGGTGTTTTCCTACAATCCTGCTTTGTGACCTGCTGCCTACAGTTAGTCAAATCTGTTCTATCTGATGCCGGCGCTCATGTAAACACACAACCACTGAGGTTACAAACACACGTTTGCATGTTACCGTCACCTGCAGCAGGCGTGTGACAAACAAACCCACATCTCAGCGTAGCTTTCAGTGCATGTCAGCTCCTCTCAGCTGCTTCTCCACCATGTTGTTGATTTTACAAACATTTAAACTCACAGACAGAAACAGAAGAAGTCAGTTTGTCTTCGACTTACTGACCTGAAACATCAACGCTGAGTTATTATTCTAGTCTTCAGTCAGAGCCCATGAGGAAACCACAAGTGCAGTACAACTGCACACTGACGACACACACACACACACACACACACACACACACACACACACACACAGACACACACACACACACACACGCACACACACACACACACACACACACACACACACACGCACAGACAGACCCTCCTCAGTAACCACACGCTTGTTTCCTCTTCTCTCTTTTCTTATTTTGGAGTTCATTACCGAGAAAGCTCGTCCTGCTTCCTCCTTTTCAGACCAGATGTGAGTCGCTCGCTCTCCTCCTCTCCTCCTCTCCTCCTCTCCTCCTCTCCTCCTCTGCTTTCTTGTCGTCTTCTTTTCTTTGTAGTAATGTGGTCGAGGGTCTGTGTGTTTTTTAGTTTCTTTGACACTGCTCAGGCCTGCTGTTCCCCTCTCTTTAACACTTGAGGTTCAAAGTTATAAAGTAGTTTTTTAAAGTGATTTTATAAAGTTCTTATCATAAGTAATATCACTGAGTCCATCTTCAGACATCATCTTCCCCGTCTCTCCATATTACAGGATTTGTCTGTTTCTCAGTTTTGTCCTCACTGTTGTCAACTCCGTGTCTCTTCTTAGTTTTAGAAATGCTGCCAAACAAAGAAAACGTCCAACTCTGAGTGACTGAGTGCTTCAGGTGTTTTATATCATCATCATCATCATCATCATCATCATCATCATCATCATCATCGGTTTGAGGATGCTGAACGGGTCTGTTTGTTTCACTCTGAGGTGCCCAGAGTCACGCTGCAGCAGTTTTCCACCTGATCAGACCCTGAATGAGGACGAAGATTAACGGGCGTTTAACAAACGTTGTTGTTGTTTCGATATCAGGCCTCACAAATCCTGACTTCATCAGGCGTTCCAATAATCATCAATATAAGCTGTTCTGAACGAAGGATGAAAGTATTTATCATCTTTATCTAAACTGGATAACGGAGGAGATCGTCCTCTTCATACTCTGATGAAACAAACGATTCCAGTTCATCACAGTTTTCTACGACAAAGTTCTGCTTTTTTAAAAACCTTTCACAGTTTTTTTTTCACGTCGACTGAGACGTGTCTAAACACGGATCACACTGTGTGACTTTTTATGACTGTTTGCTTATTTATAAGAGAAGGAAATGCAGATCAGAAAATGGTGAGGCCTGACAGAGGGTCAGTGATACTAAAGAATAATGAAGTGATCAGTTTGGATAATAATGTGTTTTCCATGTTCATGTGGCTCTTCTGTCCACGTCTATTTCATAAGATGTTTAGTCTGAGGTCTGAGGCCAAACTCTCAAACTTGGACTGAGCTGAAGGAACTCACACCTGTGTTCACGTCTGTTCGGTCTGCTGTAAAAACGTTGATTTTATGAAGTTTATGGCAGCGATGAAAAGGACAGACCTCCACAGACCTCCAACCAGACCACCCCCCCTCTACAGAGAGCGTCCACCTGACAGAGCTGAACTTAGACTGAAGAAGAAACCGGGTCTTCAGATCCTCACTCAGATCTCTGTAAGAAACCTAAAGACGGAACATTTGGACATTTTTAATCATTGATTTTTTTATGATCTACTTTATTGATTAGTTCTGTTGACAGAGATCGTGGATCTGAAGCCCCCCAGAGAGAACCTTTACCGACCCGAACACACGATCCTCTAAATCAGAGGACTGCTGTTTGGACTCAGTGTCTCTGAATGTCCACAGAGAGTCGTCGCTCATTACTTGTGTTTTGAAATGTCAAAATTTCTTGTTGTAACTTGTTTTAACTTGTTTTAACTTGTTTACATCAATTAATTTCTAACGCCTGAATCTTCCTCTGGAAGAAAACAAACGTACTTTTTCCACACAGACATTTCTGTTCATCATAAGTGAAATATTTGAGCGTCGACAGGATTACATCTTCTTAAAGGAACTAAAATCTCCCCACAGAAGCTCTTCAGTTGTTCGTTTTGGTTCATCAGGGGAGACTTTGCATAAACTCGTCGATGTTCGATGTCTTTAGTTTCAGCAGCTGAACTCTCTCAGTGTTTCTTTCTGCAGGGATTCCAAATATGACCTTTTTTATTAACATATCTCCTTTTCACTCATCAGTAACACTGCGTCTGTTTTATTATGGGTCAGAGGTTTTTCTGTCTCTGTGGTTTTAATCCAGAATTACATCAAAGATTAATGCAGAAAACTCTCATTTTAGGAACGTTTCCCTCCTCAACACAAAACTTCATATATAACAGACTTGTTTTTTAATACAACATCCCCACATATTGATATTATTCAGCTTCCCTGTTAAGGATTAATCTTATTTTCACTCTTCACTGTAGACGTTATTTTCTGCAGCTTCGTCTCTGTCTGTTCATGAAACTTCAAACAGCCTCTGCATAGATTTACTCCACACACAGAGTCAGAGTGAAAATGTGAGTCTGAGCGAGTCAGACTAAACGGAGTCTGAGTTTACAGTGAAGTCACTTTGGTCTGTTTGTTGCAGTTTGACCTTTTCATGTTCAGCCTCACTGATCTATAGGGGCTCACTGTTCTCCTGGACTGGGATTGGCCGGCCAGCTGAGCTGATGAACAGGTATGATTGGTTCAGGTGTACAAACCATCATAGAGGCTCTTTTGTGTCGCAGACAAGCAGAAGCTTATAGGAATCTGATCCGTGGACTCAGAGGGACCAAAGACGGAGAAGAAGGAGCCAAGATGAACCTCCTCTGGCCAACAGACACGTGTTTGTTTGTGAGATCATTTACTTCAAAGTTAATTTACTTCATCTTTCAGCACCACAATGACCCGAAGCACAAATCTAAACCAACAAAAGAATAAGACTGAGACTTTGGAACGGCCCCCCCAGAGTCCAGACCTGAACCCCATTGAACATTAGTGTTCTGATCTGAAGAGGGCTGAGCTCAGGAGACGTCCTCACAGTAATCTGTCAGATTTACACAGAAGAGTGGGCAAATATTTCCACATCAAAAGTTCCACGCTGACAGACTCCGACCAAAAAAAGACTGAGTGCTGAAATAAAAGTCAAAGCTGCTGAGACAAAGTTTTAGTTTAAGGATGTGAAGATTTATGAAACCAGGTTATTTTAACTTTTCTAGTTTTTATATTTTCCCCTTAAAGGTTTCAGTTTGTTTTTAATCGTGTTGTTCAGGTCAAAGGTCACATTAAAGCTGTAAAAATATTTTATCTTCCTGTTATTTTCTTACAGACTGAAACCTGACAGTTGAACAGGAGTCTGTAGACTCAACATTAACAGTATAATCTTCTGTAACAGACAGTAATACTCATCTACTGATGATACTGTTTTATACTGTTTTGTTCATTCTGTAAATCTTGTTGTTGAGAAACTATAACAGTCTTCAGAATTCATTATCAGTCTGAACTTTGTTTCAAATGCAAAACTAAATTTATGAGACTCTGTAGACTCAGAGACGTTGACTTTCACAGTCTACAGATATCAACACTTAGTGGCACATCCCTGAGTTCAGTTTATGACTGTGCCCTCAGATATTTAACTGGAGGTCCCTTTAACACTCCTGACTGAATCAGACAGTTGGTTGGTCTTCTCTGGCACAGATACGAGATAAACACTTTTATGTGTTTAAGTCTCTGATTGGACGCTCAGCTGCATACATTACAGTTCTGCTGAACTTGAACTCTGGGCGTTACCAAACAGGCTCCACCTACTTTTCTGTGCTTCAAGCTCCAAGAGTCGTCTCTGAATTTGGAAAATATGCTTTTAGCTTTGACTCTCCAAAAATGTGGAATTAACTGCATTAAAGTCTCAAAATTGACACTTTGGTTCATCTTGATTTAAGATGTTGATGACAAACCGTTTTCCTGGTGTTTGTGTAACTCTATTAAATCATTACTGTCAATTACTATTCAGTTTAATGTCAATTCAGTATCTCGACATCATCGTTAATGATTTTCAAAGCCTTAATAAAGGTTCATAAATATGTCGATGTTAGTGTTACTGTGCTTTTCCTCATATATGTTTACCAGAGACGAGTTCTTTGTTTGTGTACAAATACTTGGACAATAAAGCTAGTTCCTATTCTGATTCTGAGGTTTTATATTATATATATGTTAGTATTAGTAATACACACACACATATATATATATATATATATATATATATATATTCAATATATATATATATATGTTAGTATTAGTATTACTGCACTACTCCACACATATATATATATGTAAATATTAGTATTACTGCACTTCTCCACATATATATATTTATATTTATATATATATATATGTAAATATTAGTATTACTGCACTTCTCCACATATATATATTTATATTTATATATATATATATGTAAATATTAGTATTACTGCACTTCTCCACATATATATATTTATATTTATATATATATATATGTAAATATTAGTATTACTGCACTTCTCCACATATATATATAAGTATTAGTATTACTGCACTTCTCCACATATATGTGTTAGTGTCACAAAATTGTTGTATTTTGTCAAATGCAAAATTAAAACCATTATTTCTGACATCGTATATCAGTGATCGGTTAACCTGTTGTCTTATTTTCAGTATCCGTATTAAAACCCACTGATGTGATTACCTGAGGAGGAGGTCGTTTATAGATCCAGCTCGTAGTCTACTCCTGACTGATATAAAGCTCTGAGTTCCTGTCTTTGGCCTGAGGGTCCTGAGTTCACATGGACTCTGGTATCTCTGTGTACCTGCTCCTCTCTCAGAGTTCGCCTTGTGCTCTGCAGCTGGTGCTGGAATCCCAAACACTCTGATAAGGCCGGATCCTCGTTGATACAAAGACCGGGTTTGAGTTTCCAAAGTAATAACAGCCTTTTATTGACGAGCCAGGAAGATGTCAGTGCGGCTGGATAACACACGCAGACACAGAAGGGATTCTGGTTCCTAACTTTTTAACCTCTGGGCCGGAGGCCCGTTCAAATATGAGCACTTTCATCTGAACTGATCTGAGTCTTGGATTGATTTGTAATCAATAACTAAGTCAAGTTCTTTGATAGTTTAACCTTTAGTTTAAAACCTTGTGAAATAAAAACTGTTATACATGATGATCGTCTCAAGGACTCTGATCTATAGTCAAGTATATGAACCTGCACAAACAATTATAACTGATCAAATCTCCACAACGAAGCCTTTTAATATTCTGACTGACAACAACAACTGAAGCCTGATCAATAAAACTCATTTGTACCAAATAAATCGATTATAATCAAAGATTCAAATTAAATAAACAAACTTCAAGTGCAAATGAAAATATTGTCACCTGCTGATGAATATGAGAATTTAGCAGTTTCATTTTTGGAAAGGCAGAACTAGAAGTTGCTCTTGAAAACTGTGAGAAATGATCAGAACCATCAGAACCATCAGAACCATCAGAACCGACAGTCCAGTTTAATGTCCTACAGCTCCCATGTTATCCTCTCAGTCAGACTCTTGGACCTCGGAACCTCTGAATACCGAGAACTAACGAGAACTTCAGGACTCAGAGAGGACCGCCTTTACCACCTGCGGGACTACTTCATGTTCTGGTTCCTGTCGTACTGAACTCACAGACACGTCAAAGAGAGCTGGTTCCTACCTGAGCTGGAGGAGAGGACAGGAGTCCAAACGGTGGAGGGGTCCCTGGATCTGTGAGGGCGGGGGGTCGATTCTCTAATCAATACATCGGCTGATCACCGCAAATCACAGAGTCGCAGGTTGTTTCCATGTATCCGCCAGAGACCGAGCGGGTTTTAACGGAACTACAGGGCGGAAGAGAGAGAGACAGAGAGAGACAGAGGGGGAGAGAGAGAGAGAGAGAGAGAGAGAGAGAGAGAGAGGGAGAGAGAGACAGAGAGAGACAGAGAGAGAGAGAGAGAGAGAGAGAGAGAGAGAGAGGTGGGCGGGGAAGCTCGTATGGAAATCAGTTGAGAGGTGAGTCGGTTGTGTCCTGCTGTCCCAGATAAACTCTGATCCTCCTGAACTCTCTTTAAGTGTAACCAGACTAACGGACCTTTTAAAGTCCTCTGAGGTGGTCCTTCAGGTCCAGTTATAAACCTGTGTAAACAGAGGAGGCCATCTTTTACCATATAATGCGAATTAATGTCATTTATAGTGTGACTGAAGCGGCTTTATTCTCTCCATGACCTGTATTTTGTGTTTGACATTGGCGCCATCTGCTGGGCAAAGTTGAGGAGTGCCTAACTAAAATAGAACCATTATAACCTTAAATGAGTGTCGTTATATTCTCCCGCCCTCTGAACTCTTACAGCTGAATTCTTTAACAGATGAAGTGTCTGTAAGTTCTTATTTGGGAGGTCAGAGAACAGGACGTTACAATAAACCAGAGGAGATAAAACCATCAGCGCCCCCTGCTGGCCTGGGAGAGAAACGGGCGGACTCTGTTATATTCTTCCGGTGGTAAAAACCGACCTTTGCTGTTTCTGATGTGTGGACGAAAACGGAGCTCAGAGTTTTTACAGATGTTGATACTTTTAAATATTGTGGTTTTGGTGAAAGTGTCTCTCTCAGGCCTTCAGGACCAAGAACTAAAAACTACTTAAACTAGGACCGGCTCTCTCTCGGACCAACCGCCCAACCCGGACTGACAACTGTTCGGCGTTCATACCCACCTTGCTAGTAAGCGCCATCATTGCCATCTATTGTTGTCCTAAAAGTTCCCGCGCAGCCGTTGTATTTATAGTTTTATGAAAATTGACCTTTTTGACCCATTGGTATTGCCGTAGGAAGAGCCCCGTCCTGACACGAGCGCCCTCACACGAGGGTCTCCATGTCTGCAGCCCTACCCTGTTATTCCCTCCAGCGGCCGTTACTGTTCCTCTCTCTACTGTCAGAGTCTCACGACGAGTCCGGCGCCTTCACGGTAAATTTAACCACTTTAAACCGGATTAAACCGGATGTCCGCATTTCAACCATCCAAACCGGGAGCGCGGAGACGCCATTTTGAAACATTCTGTAGTTTTCAGTCATTTCCGGAGTCGTGGCGAATCAAATCATCAAACCCGTCTGCCTCTGATCGGCTAATAAAGGTTATACAGCGCTTTTACTTTACTCCTGTGTTTCATGAGTAAAGTAAAACTCTGTATTTTAGAGCACTTTAAGGTCGGTTTGTTTTTAGTTTTTGAACACACCAGGCCAACTGAGAAAATACACGGTTTGTAAAAGTACTGCTGGATTTTTCCCCTGTAGTAATTAAGACAAAATCTGTGACACCTTTGTCAGGTTTGACAGTTGGTGCTGTAGGTCTTACATCGTTGATTGTTATTATCTCTTTGAATTTTGCTTTTCTTCATGTTTTAAACATACATTTTTAGCTGTGTTATGATGCTTCTCTCATCTTTTTGGTTGGATCTGTCAAATATTTTTAAGAAGTGGTTATTCTGAGTAAAACCCAGTGTGTATTATACTCATATGTAATACCAGTACCATGTATGAAAAACCTCAGCAGACCTCAGTTTTGTCGCAGCGTTAAAAAGTTAAAAAGAAGAAACTGTAACCATGTCGTATTTTAGTGACTTTAGACAAGGAAGTGGCACAGCAGGTGACGGTCACTTACCTCTGACTCCTCCTCCCCACAGGTGACATCTCTGCTGCCCAGCTGTTTGCATCTCTATCTCCAGTGGCCCAAAGCAGAGTGAGCAGAAAGTCTGCTCTCCCAGCCAATGTTCCCCATTCATCAGCACACACGAGCACAATGGCAGCATTAAATATTCACCAGCGTTAGTTTAGTGTAGGAGAGGGGGACGGAGTGGAAGGCTTTATGCCAAAGAGAGAGACAGGGGTTGTGACACCGCACAACCAAAAGATGTCGTAAAGATATGGAGTCAGGGGACCTGATGGAGAGGTTTGTCTTTGGAATAACCTGAAGAGGACGGGAGTGACGAACGGAAATACTGCGGAGAGGAAGAAGCAACAAAGGTGAGGCCTGCTGGGGTGTGTTTGCACGGTATGGAGCAGCCATGACACTTGATGCGGTTTGGCTCCATATGGTATGGCCTAGTGTGTGTGTGTGTGTGTGTGTGTGTGTGTGTGTGTGTGTGTGTGTGTGTGTGTGTGTGTGTGTGTGTGTGTGTGTTGAGCTGCTGCACATGAGCAAGCACAAGGTGTTATGGCTCCTTTATAAGAACGGTTTCACTCGGCTTATTGCTGTGGGTGTGTTGTTGAAAACTGCGCAGAGTTTGTGAGTCTCGATGAATTGTTCGTCTCTTCGAAATGTCACGGACTAAGGGCCTTCCATCTTTTTAGGGGTTATTTTACACTGTTATCATGTAAGGCAGGTAACTTGTGGATATGCAATAAGGGGACCTGAAAAAAAGGACAGGAACACCAGAAACCTTTCAGACCCAGACCTCTGCACTGAGTGACTCCTGATTCTCCTTGAGTTGATCGAACAGCTCTTTGCTGCAGGTCAGCCCTAAAACAGACATGAGAGCCACACAAAAAAACAAGACAGGCCAAAACAGGGTCTCATTTTACCATAAATTCAGAGACAATACGAGCTAAAAACAGCAGCCTAACTCTGCGCACGCATTGGCCCTCATTTATCGATCTGAGTGCAGGATTCATCGTACGCTAGCACACATGTGAGATTTATGAAAGGGTTCTTATCTGACCAATCGCAGCGTACGTATGTTCCGGTCTCAGTGTGGCGGCTGAAATCAATCGTCATTAACATGTCACGCCCTTAAATATTCATGGTTCAGAAGCCCCGCCCACTGAGGTCAAACATGTGAAATATTACAAAGATGTGAAAGTGAATATCCTCACATCTGTGGTGGAAACTAACGTGGATTTTCTCTTTGGAAACTTTAAAACTGGAACTAAAGCAGAAAACTCTGGATCAGGATTATGGCGGCGCTGAGCAGCGCTGTCGAGGAATAGTGGACGGTGGCTGAAGTTTGAATAAATCATTAGTCAATAATTTGCTCATGATGATAAATTAATATCTCATACATGCCTCATATTTGTTTATTGCCATGACAGAGGGTATGCTGCTCCTATTATTGAAAGTATTTAGTTTTAATTTGTTGCGTCTTTGTGATGTAGAGCAGACAGAGAGTCTGACAGAGGCTGAACAAAAATAATCATTAACCTCACCAAACGGTGCGTCACTGCTCCTGAGGAACATCTTTATGGATTTTTTATCACTGAATAAACATCAAGAGCACTTTCTAACCTTCTACTTCACATGTCAGAATCCATGGATACGGTCCCGTCTCCTCTGTGCAGCACCTTTGTGGAGTCTCGCCTCGTTATTGTTCTCCGATCATCGGGTCCTCACGTTGCACCGGCACAGCTGACGGCGCTCTATTCACCAGAACAACATTGTGCAAAACTGTACTGGCCCAAATGACGTCCCACACCCTTTCAGGAGTGTACAACAACGTCCCCGCTGCTGGGCCAAGACAGAGACACCTGCCTTTAGGAGTCAAACGCAGCGCTCCACAGTGTGTGTGTGTGTGTGTGTGTGTGTGTGTGTGTGTGTGTGTGTGTGTGTGTGTAACGTTGAAACGGCGCTCCTGCTCTGTGGCGGTGTTTCTGTGTAGAGTTATCAAAAAGGCCTCTTCACAAAGGACAAAACAAACTTATTTTATTTTATGTACGTCTTTATTTTTTAATGGAATCTGTCTGATTGTGCTCAATGACAGTTTTGAGGTTAGATTATCAGTTATTCTGAGACAGACATTTGCTGCTCCACAGATCCACACTGACTCAAACCCGTGTACTCGATGTCAGACCTGTCGTGAGATTTGGTCGTAGCGTACGCTCACGTGCAGATTGATAAATGCTAATCCTCACGTCACAACTTACGTACGCAAGCTCGATAAATGAGGGACTGAGCAACGATGGGTGAGGATTTCAGAGTACGTGATGGAGAGGGAGGGGAGTAAATAAAGAGTGCGATGATTGAGTGAGAACGAGAACTAATGTTAGGAAGAAGTGAGAAACATTTCAGACACACACACACACACACACACACACACACACACACACATACACACACACACACACACACACACAGAACAATCACAAACTGAAAGTTCCTGACAGGAGCTTTATATTCCACTTTAACACGTTAGTGTGGTGTCAGTGGTGTTGGCGTCAGATGCTTTATTTGATGAATTATGGGACTAAAGATGATTTTTCTTTGTGAATTTATTGTCAGGTTTGGAACAAAAGCCGAGTCCACAGTTTTGCAGAAGCTTTCTCTTTGGATGGTAGAGAGTAAGGAGTAGGACAGGGGAGAGAGTGAAAACAGGAGGGACATTCAGGAACGAGTCTGTAATCGACTTTAATCAGAACAGCGTGAGTTCAATATCTAATGTAGGACACTTGCTGCAATATTTAGGCCAGTACTACCCACATGATGTGTGCAAGATTTGTTTTGTGTAAAAAGCTCTGATAAGGATTCCAAGCACACACACACACACACACACACACACATACACACACACACACACTTCACGACCTGTTTTCACTTCTTGTCAGGCTTTTAAATCAGTCCCAGCGCTCTGACGCTGGACACCAGTGTGGGTTGATAATAGTATCATGTGTAATTTGTGTAATCCTGCCATTAAAGCACAAAAAGGGCTGCACAATTGGCTGCTGAGTCACAGAGGGAGACAATACAGTGCTACACAGACACACAAACGCACATGTCCAACATGTGTATAAGTGTGGCGTGTTTGCTGAGAAACCCAATCACTGTGCTTCTCATGGATGAACTAATGTAAAGAGAAGATTATACCATTATATGTCTGAACAGTAGATGTACAGGTGACCATCGCAGGTAATCGGTGAGGCAACACAAGCCGTGTTTACCTCTGAAGGCCCTTTGTGTTTGGAGATGGGCTGTGTAATTTAAGGAAATGATTCTTTCTCTCTCTCTCCCTCTCTCTCTCTCTCTCTCTCTCTCTCTCTCTCTGTTTGTGTGTGTGTGTTTGTGCACATGGGGGATAGAAAACGTTAACAGAGGGTCAGAAAGAGGCATAGGAGCCAAGACAGCGAGGGGATTTGTCACATTTTGGTGACAGGATAATTAATTCATCACTGATCGATCGGTCCTGATAAGGTAAGCTGCTCCACTGACTGTGGTTAGAAACCTTTCATTTGAACTTCAGCTCAAAGATGATTTGTAAATCCTTTTCAACCTAAATTCAACTGAATACACTACAAAGATATTTAATGTTCAAACTCATAAACTTTATTATTATTAACTCAGAGTTTCATGGCAGCTACACGTTCCACAGTAGTTGGACAGGGACATGTTTACCTCTGTGTTCCATCACCTTTTAACAAACTCAGTAAACGTTTGTGAACTGAGGAGACGAACTGTTGGAGCTGAAGGTGGAATTCTTTCCCGTTCTTGATGTTCAGCTTCAGTTCTTCAACAGTCCGGGGTCTCCGTTGTCGTGTTTTACTCTTCATAATCCTCCACACATTTTCAGTGGAGACAGGTCTGGACTGTAGGCAGGTCAGTCGAGTACCCGCACTCTTTTACTACGAAGCCACGCTGTTGGAACACGTGCAGAATGTGGCGTGGCGTTGTCTCGCTGAAATAAGCAGGAAGGGCGTCCATGAAAAAGACGTTGCTTGGATGGCAGCATCTGTTGCTCTAAAACCTGTTTGTACCTTCAGCATGAATGTTGCCTTCACAGATGTGTAAGTTACCCATGCCTTTGGCACTGATGCGCCCCCAAACCATCACAGACGCTGGCGTTTGAACTCTGCATCGATGACAGTCCGGATGGTTCTTTTCCTCTTTGGCCCGGAGGACATGACGTCCACTATTCCCATTTTGCATCAGTCCATCTCAGATGAGCTCGGCCCAGAGAAACCGGCGGCGGCGTTTCTGGATGTTGTTGATAAATGTCTTCAGAGTTTTAACTTACAGATTTAGTGATGAACTGTATTTACTGACAGTGGTTTTCTGAAGTGTTCCTGAGCCCATGTGCTGATATCCTGTACACATTGATGACGGTTTTTGATACAGTGGCGCCTGAGGGGTCAAAGGTCACGGGCGTTCAATGTTGGTTTCCAGCTGTGCCTCTTACCTGCAGTGATTTCTCCAGATTCTCTGAACCTTCTGATGATATTATGGACCATAGATGTTGAAATCCCTAAATTCTTTACAATTGTAATTGAGGAACGTTGTTCTTAAACTGTTGGTCTGTTTTCAGCAGCACATTCCAGTCTGTTGATTTAAAACAGTCCCTTAGAGCTTCACTGGCTTCAGGTGTCCATCTTCTGATTTTGACTTTGGTCACAGGCTGCCTCAGCACACAAGGTCTGTAACAGGTTTGCAGACCAAGTTATGATCTGACCTGCCCAGAGGTGGTAAGGCAGTGGCTCTGTAGGCTTCTTTGACGTTGGCATACAGCAGATCCAGGGTCTTGTTTTCTCTGGTAGGACAGTTCACAGTCAGGTGAGAGGAGAGGGTGACATGGTTGAAGTCTCACTATTTTGCAAAACACCACTCAGAATTTCTTCAGTTGATTTGGGTGGAATGTAAACATCTATTGTTATGATCTGACTGAATTCTCTGGGAACATAATATGGCCGAAGAGCAGCTGCCAACAGTTCAATATCTGGACAACACAACTTCTCCTTGACAGTTCTGTGTGAAGGGTTACACCATCTCTGGTTGACAAATAAAGTCAGACCTCCTCCGTTCTTCTTGCCATTAGCTTGAGCATCTCTGTCTGACCTTATGAGAGTGAAACCAGGTAGATCCACACCAGAGTCCGAGTTCTTTTGATTCAACCAGGTTTCATTAAAACACAGGAGACTGTACTCACGGTCTGCTTTCTCAGTCTTCACCAAGATCTCCAGCTCATCACTTTTGTTGGGCAGAGAGTTGATGTTTCCCATGATGATTGATGGAAGAATGGGTTTATATCTCCACCTCCTAACATTCAGCTTCACCTTCACCTTTGCACCAGCACGGCAACCACGATAACATCTCCTGATGTCCTCTGGAATTGTATGTTGTTGTCCAGATTTTCTTTTCCTCAATGAAAGGAGCTCTTCTTTTGAATAAACTCTTCACCCAGCAGGAGTATCCATCAGCAGCCGACAAAATGACGACAAAAATATGAAAAAAAAATCTGGCAAAAATTACAGAGTTTACAGATAATACAGAGAGACCAGACTTGCAGCAACCTCTCGGTTCAAGCGCATCATTTGAAATGTATTTCTACTTTATATCCAAAGGTCACACTTCCTTTATTATACCTCAGGAAGATCCTCCTTTACACCCACAGAGGGCACTAAAGAACCGTTTTTACATGGCTGCCCGCTGCTCTTGTTGAGTTTGAGCATCTGAACGGCTCCTTTTGTAATTGTGTTGATGTGAAGATTAGAGAGTTCAGTACAGCAGCACTCCTTGTGGATCACAGCATGACCGTATACATGCGTAAATCTCACTGATTCATCTGTTGGTCTCTTATTAGACAGTCTGTCAAAGTTGATATCAAAGGTCACGTCTTACAAATACAGTCAGGTGTGTTTTCATGTCTGTACAGACGAGTGTTGGTGCTTGATCCTTGGTGACAGGTCTTTGGCGTCTTTGCAGCCGCTAGTGTCTCTCTATTGTTCAGGCCTGAAGTAATCTGGCAGTGAAGGTTAAGACCTGAATGGGGCTTAAAAGCTTACAGGAAACCCGAGTCCAGTCTCCTCATCATCCTGGATCACCTTCTCTGTCTGAAAAGACGTCCTCTTCCTCTGTCACTCAGTCTTTACTTCAGATCCTTATTTTCCTCCTCATGTTTTCCACATTCTGATCTGCTGGCAGCTTGATCCTGGCAAATACGGCGGATTATCTGGTTATCAGTGCAGTTAGTTTTTCACCAATACTACCGAACACATTTACATCTCTTTGACTCACTGGAACAGATGTCTCTGTTTCCAGTTCATGGCTTCAGTCCAATGACTTTCTTAAGAGCATCATTCGAAGTTTTTATGTTTTACTTTTTCCATCATCATCTGGATGGATTTGCAAAAAAAATTTAACAACCAAACCTTTGATGGTAAATGTTCATCATGAATAATTTATGTTGAAACTGTAACTGTAAGTAAACTGACACCTACCCCCAAACACCGGTTTCAGGCACTAAAACTGTGACATTAAAACAGTGTTCACCCCCAAACACTCCTGTAGCATCAGAAAAATGCTATATGAACATTTGGACAACAAGAGAAACATGATTTTCATCAGGATGGGTCTTTAAAGCCATTAAGAGATGTTTGCTGTTGCTCAGTTTAGCCCTTGCTGCTCCTCTGATAATCTCTTGTTGGGCCAACCATAAGATGAAATTTTGAAATTTTCATAAAGTTACAACTTCAGTCACAGACATCTTTTGATCCTCTATGATCCCTACACACTGTTGAAATACGTTTGCCTCAAAGGGCATGGTCAGAAAAACAATAAGATGGGGGGACAGATATCTATCCTTATCTGCTGAAAATAAACAACTGATAACAGTAAATACAACTGAACTCAATAAATTAATCACCAGATTTATACCATTTTCAACTACAAAATTATTCAAGTGAGGTCCATTATGATTAAAAAAACAGGTTCTTTTCAAAGCTGAAACAGAGATCTTCGTGGAAGACCACAGGACCCATCTTTATCGCTCACTGTACCCAGCTTCTCAACTGAAAACAGTCATTGTGTGTCTTTAAATGTGTTGGGGTTGGAGCAAGAGCATGTACACAACATTTTAAGTGTGTGTGTGTGTGTGTGTGTGTGTGTGTGTGTGTGTGTGTGTGTGTGTGTGTGTGTGTGTGTGTGTGTGTGTGTCCCTGCCCACAGTCATCAAATGAGCCGGTCGGTGCCGCTACGCTCAGGTTTATTCGTCCTGTGCCACTCAGTGCACTCGCTGAAAGCATGTTGTCACTGAGTGACACATCGTGAATGAAGAGACTCTCTTCTCCGTCACTCTCTCTGCCATGCCTCCATCTTTCTTCTTGTCTCCTTGTACTCCATTTTTCTTGTTGTCTCACATTTTTCTATCACCTTTACTTTTTGATTAACCCTCTTTTTTTTCTGTAGTTCTTGTGTCAGCAGTTTGCTTTCTCACCTCTGTCTCCTGTTCCTTCCTTCATTTTGCAGAGCTCCTTCTCCTCTCCTCTTTCTCTGACTCCTGGCCTTCTGTCATCTGTGCTCTATTCATTACCTGTGAACTCAGTCAGTAGATTACATCAGCCAGACAGCAGATACATATCACACATATCAAATAGATCTTCTCTTTGTTTCTTCTACCTGTTTGGTGGACAGTCCTTTGTGTGTGTGTGTGTGTGTGTGTGTGTGTGTGTGTGTGTGTGTGTGTGTGTGTGTGTGTGTGTGTGTGTGTGTGTGTGTGTGTGTGTGTGTGTGTGTGAGAGAGAGTAAGATGAGGACAGGAACTTCTGAACGTCCATCAGTGACCACTCTGAAGTTAGCTGATACCAACAGCTGCTGCCATGGTTGTTCTTGCAAACATACATTTATCATGGTGACTGATTTCAGCTCTGATTAGATCTTAGGTTAAGACTGTTGGCCCCCTCTAGAGGGAAAACACAAAAGTGTATACTAAGTGGTAGGGATGCACGATATTTATCGGACCGATAAAATATCGGCCGATTTGGGGGGAAATTACGTCATTTTTTATCGCCCGATAGGTGCATTTTTCCGATAGAAAGATCCGATATATTAATGAAATTACGAGTAACGTTTGCAGGCGGAATAGCCGCCCGTCCAAGACGCGCTGGTTACGTCATCTATCGCGCCTTACTCGCAGGTCCCAAGCCTGACCCCGTCACTACCTGACAGATAATTAAATGTCTTCACCAGCATGGTCGTTTCTCTCAGTGGCAGAAGATGACAACAGCTGATATGCAAAACCTGTTCAGCGAGGATTCCAAGAGGAGGAAAGAAGACGTCAAGTTTTAACACATCGAATCTGATAGCTCATCTGAAAAGTCGCCATCGCGGCGAAGCGGTAGTAAAAGAATATGAGACAGCCGCCAAAGCTGCTAGCGGTACTAAAGCTAAGACAACAACACTACGGAGGATCGATGTCCCCATTCAGCAGGCGTTTGAAAACTGCAAAAGCTTCTCAAGAGACAGCGAAAAGGCTAAAGCCATTAACGACAAAGTGATGGAATTCATAGCGGTCGACGACCAGCCTTTTTCCGTCGTTGAGAACCCGGGTTTTCGTAAGTTCATAGCACACTTGGAGCCACGTTACACTCTCCCAAGCCGCCGCTTCTTCTCGGATGTGTCTCTTCCTGCACTCTATGATATTGTCGCCACATACATTCACAACCTGATCGACAAGAACGGACTACACGTGAGTTTTACCACAGACATATGGACGTCAGATGTTAGTCCGGTCAGCATGCTAAGCCTAACGTCTCATAATAGCTCCTTTACAGTTTACAGTTCTGTTGAACAGTTCAGGGGATCAAATGAAGTTCTGCTTTTTGCTCTGTTATTGTTATTTATAGCAAATGACCACATTTGAAGAGCCAAAAACTTTTGTTTGTTGTTCTAGATAGGCCAGAGCAACAAAAACATCAGTTTTCAATCGCTGCATCCTGCACAAACTGCAGATTATATGAAGATTATAATAAATGTAAAAATATGAATTTATCGGTTATCGGTATCGGCCATGAGAAGAAGAAAATTATCGGTTATCAGTATCGGTTGAAATTTTTCATATCGTGCATCACTACTAAGTGGGCACATATATACTCTCTTCTCTCGCCCACCCTGAGCGGTATTGTGTCTCTTCAAGCTCAGGTCCTCTACCAGAGGCCTGGGATCTTGAGGGTCCTGCGCAGTATCCTTGCTGTTCCTAGGACTGCACTCTTCTGGACTGAGATGTTTCTGATGTTTCCTCAGGGATCTGTTGGAGCCACTTCTTCTCCAGTGTGGGGGTTACTGCCCTGATGACCACAGGCGCCACTGTTTCCTTCACCTTCCAGGCTTCTCTATCTCCTCTTTGAGCCCTCGGTTCTTCTCTAGTTTCTCATGTTCCTTCTTCCTGATGTTGGTATCACTTGGGGTGGCGACATCTACCTCTTCTGCTGTTTGTCTACGATTAAAACTAACTTGATGAATTGTTTTGAACTCTGCAGCTTTTAAGGTACACAGGACAAAGAGTTTTGAAACTATTTGCCCACTAAAGCAGTACCATCTTCGGTTGTCTCTGTGGTGTCTGACTGTTAACCCCTGACACTAACCTCTATGTATAATAAATTGGTTGTTGAGCTGGCCAGGGCGGGGTTGACCCTTTTGTGATATATTTAGAGCGGCCTGCAATTAATGTTTTATCCATGCTGCGAAGGGAGAACACAGGGCAATCATTAAACATTCATAATTGCCACTGAGATGACCTCCTGGAATATCAGCCTGTCATCAATGAATTAACATCAGGCCATCATCATCATCATCATCAATGACTTTAGACTTTTCTAAATGAAAGGAAATCAGCCAGTTATGTCAGCCATTTCATATGTAAGCATATATCATCTAAGATTTCTACTGACAGGGCAAACGTATACATGTGTGTATTTTTTATTTTAGCCCTAAGTGAAGGTGAGTTTGTCATGTTTATCCTTTAGTAAACCTAAAACTCAGTGGAGATGGTGCTTTCACAGCTATCTAAAAGTCACTCTGGGATTATTTGAACAGACTAAGAACTTAGGGGATCTTTGCCTGAGAAAAAATGAGTCTTAACACTTACTGGAATAATATAAAGAGCAAATAATGATTCATTCTGTCATGTAAATAAATAGTGCTGAATCTCACGTTTTGAACCTCTGCTTAATTTTTGTCTATATCCTGTTGATTTGGTGTATGACTCTTGAGTGGATAATTTGGCACGCATCACTCTCAGCCATGGTCCGTGCATGCCATGTTTTGGCTCTGCATGGCTTTGCCTCTCAGACACAGTTTAGCAACAGCTCAGCCAGCCTGCATTATTCATACAGGAGCGAGCCTGCAGATAGGGTTACGCTGAGGCACTACAGCCAGGACACTAAGGTGCCCTTTGCAACTAAAACTATGTGACTATGATATATAAAGGTTAACAACACAGACACCCATTTGTGTGTGAAAGCACTGCAGAAAGGTTAACATCTCAAGCTGAGGCAAAACGGGAGTGGATGAAGACGTGTTGAAGAAGGATGGTTACCAGAGTGATGCAAAAGGTTGCAGGAGGTCACAAAGGCAAGCTGACGTGTTTGTGGGAGGATACAACCACAAATGCAACCCTTACCCTCAGACAAAGAAGAGAACACCCCTAAAGGCCGAAGCTCACAGACACATGCACATCGGCTCTCCTCGTTTGGGGGGGACCTGCCAAAGTTGGTGTGGCGGCCGAGATGGGGGTTTACTCCCGGACTCAGAGGACAAACCTACAAAAGGAGACACACACGGGACTTCACGGACCCTGACATCAAGAAAACAGGGTCTTTTGTTGATTGTGTGCCTTGAAAAAGTTACTTTCAAATGTATAAAGTGGGAAAAGCTCAGGAATTCATGAGAATTTTTGCCGTGGAGGATGATCGTAAGTGACAAACTCTGTGAGACACAGACTGTAACCAGTAAGATTGATTTTTCTTATCTTCTATTTTCAAGAAGCACCTTTTTTTTTTTATTTAGACCTCTTTAAGGGTTTTCTGTCTTTTCACCCACACAGAGACATCAGTACTTTAGCTGGCACTTGAAGATGTTCTGTAATGCGAGTGAGCACTGATGGCAGAGATTCTTACTCCATTACTAGATCGTATTTAAAGGACTGTGGTTTCTGTTTGTCTCAGTGTGCATTATAGAAGAACTGACTTGGGACAGAGTGTGCCACAGTTTGTGTTTCTGGAATGTCACAAGGACAGATCAGATGGAGGAAGAAGGAGTGAAGACGTGAATGTGGCTGCTCTTTGGACTCCTCAGGAGTAAATGCCAGTTTTGACACATATGGAAATTTGTTCTTCAATTTGTTTAAAATGATTTAAAGAAGGTGACACCATGCCACCCAAAAAAGGTGACACAAAATCAGCTGCCAAGAAAGGCAAGTCAGAGGAGCCAAAAAAAGGGGGAAAGGAAGACAAGAAAGGAGGCAAAGATGACAAGAAAGGGGGTAAGAAAGTGGAGGAGTCACCAGCTAAGGGAAAAGGAAAGGGAAAAAAACCTGTCAGTGAGTCAGAAGAGGGGTCGGAGGAAGAAGAAGAGGAGATGCAGACTGATGAGGAAGAAGACGTTGATGCCAGTGAGAAGGAGGAAGTGACCAAGAAGGGCAAAGGGAAGGGGAAAACAGCTCTAAAAGGTGCATCAAAGGCCATGGCTGTGAAGGGGTTTAAACCGTCTAAAGGTGCAGATCCATCTGATGAAAAGGCCCAGATGAAGAAAGGGATGGGTGCAATGAACCTAAAAAAGATGAGTGATGTCAACATTAAAGGAGCATCCAAGGCAATGATGGGTTTTGCTGCAGAGGGGCAGAAGAAGAATGCAAGTGCAGCAAAAGCAGCAAAGACAGCAGATGCAAAGTCTCACCTCAAAGGAGCCTCAAAAGCCTTATCAGGCCTCACGGGGAAGTCCTCTCCTTTTGCCTTGACCTCTAAACAGCCAGCAGCAAAAACGAAACCAAAGAGAAACCTCAAAAGTACCTCCCGTCTTTTCCTACGACTCTCCAAGAAAAAGAAGCCCCCTGCTGATGGGAAACCACTTCTGGGCAACAGCAAACTTTTTTCCGGGTTTGGGGGTAAACAGACTTCCCCTGATAAAAAGTTGGGTTTGTCTGGCTTCAGTATGTTCAATAAAAAAGATGATACTCCAAAAGAAACCAAACAAACTACAAAAACAATAAATTTATCCAGTCTAAGTGGCAAAGGGAAAATGGCATCAGAAGCTAAGGGACTTGGGGGGAAATTTAAAGGCATGTTTGGGAAAAAGAAAACAGGATCTGGGTTTAAGACTAAAGGTTGGATGTTGGGAAGGATAGCTGCAGCATCCAATTGGTTGACTGGGAGGTTTCTGTCTTCTAAGGGCCGAAGTCGGATGGGGGCACGGGCAGGGGGACATCATCGAAAACATCTATCATTTGCCAACAGGAACACTAGAGGGAGACAGACTTATTACAATGGAGCTTATGACTATGGTGATGATGAGAATGGATATGAAGAAGATTACCAAGACAGGTGGAGACCTAGAGGCTTCCAGAGACAACACACCCCATATGACCCATATGATCCTTATGGGGAGGAAATGGACTACTATGACGATGATGAGTGGGAAGATGAATATGGTTATTATGATGATGAGGGCAACTTCTATTATGATGATGAATTGAACTATTATGATGACGTAGAGTACTACAATTACCCCTATGACTATTATGGTGATGAGTGTGATGATTACTACTACAATGACGGGACAGAGTATTACTATGGTGAAGATGGGATGTTGTATGCATTGGAACCAGAGCAGTATGAGTACTACAGCAATACCATGGATGGTGTCTATGGTCCCAATGACCGTGCACTGTATGGTGATTACTTTAACCAAAATATGGTTCATGCCTATGGAATATCAGACCCATATGGGATGATAAGCAATGGTTATGATCTATTTTCAGGCCTATATAATGATCCAGTGCTTGGATATGCTGATCCCAATGCTGTTTATAACCCCAATCAGCAGCCATTTTTTATGGGTGCTGCGCCAGATCTATCTGAGACAAGACAGCTATTTGGTCAGGAGCAGCTTTCATACCCTTTGGCTGAGCCACTTTCTGTGGAGCAGTTCAGGGTCCCCAGACCTCAGGTTAAACTATTTGGAAAAGAAAGACTTGAGTTTGAAACTCTGCCACCTCCTCCTTCTCCTCATTCTTATCCCTCCTTCACAGGGGTTGCTCCTCCTTCCCCATATGTAACACTTAATGACCTGGAAATTGTTTCGGAAATACCATTTGAGCAGCCTCTTCCTATTGGTCTTTCAGCACAACCTCATTATCCAAATGTCATGATTCAACAACAACCCCAACTTCCTCCTGGACAAGCCTCTTCTCCAACAGCTATGGTCTTTCAGCAGGAGTCCATCCCTCTCCCTCAGCCTACTTACTGTCCTGCCTCTTTTTCTCAAAGTCGCTTGCCTCCATCTTCCCTACCATTACAAATGTCTCCCCAGATTTACCAACCACCTTTATTCCAAGATCCACAAATGTTCCAGATGGGGCAGATGTCACCAATGGTCCCATCATTGCAGCCACAGATGCCACCATTGATGCAGGCACAGTTGTATTCACCTTTAGGCTCACCTAGGCCAGCCCAGCGAATAAGTCCACCTCCATCCCCATCACTTTCACGAAGGCCAACATCATTTAGAGCAACTGCACCTCATTCTCCACGTCCCCCGCCATATCACATGGACATCCCGACTGGCATCCAGCTAGACTCCCACTTCTCCCCTGGCTTGCAAAGAAGAGGGCTTACTCACCAAGCATCATTGGGTGGCCAAAGACAAAGTTCCCCTCGGCAGAGACCACCGAGCCCACCCTTTTTTTCACCAATTAATAGGAGAGGGGAGTCAGTTAGAACTCAGGCATCCATGGGAGGGGGAAAAAGAGGAATCACAGTGCGACGGGGTCGATCAACTGTCAGACCCCATTCCCCTCTTTCAAGCCCCATAGCTTCACCTCGAGGATCCATGAGGAGGGGGACAAGCCCACCACCTTCCCCAAGACTCTCTTTTAGGCAGCAGCCTCCTCCAGATGCAGTTCCTCTGCCTCCTGCCAGACCACATACGCTCAGAGGTAGGAAACAAATATCAAGAATAACTAGTTCATCCTCTCCTCCCCATCAGTTTCTACAAAGAGGGAGTCCCCTGGTAGCTGAGAGATCTCAGTCCCCACCCCAAGCCTTTCACCCCACCTCCCCCCATCGTCCACCCTCACCTTCTCCATCACGTATCTCAAGTCACCCTTCACCAACTCGGTCTTCTACTCGCAGGCTGAGAGGTGGATCCAGTCGAGGTCATGTCCCTATGGGAGCAGTGAAACCCTCCCCAGCGAACCCTTACCTGCAGGGACGCAATAGACATGGCCCCCCTGTCACTCAGCATGTAGCCCCATTCAGATCATCCATTCATAGTGGACCACCCTCTCCCTCAGGTCAGACAGGGGGTGTACCTGGAAGACCCATATTAGCAAGGACAGGCTCACGGGCCACAGGGTTAAGGGAGTCTCAGCAAATTGGTGCTCCCCAAGGAGGCTTTCACAGACCTGTAGGAAGAGGGCAACCACTAGTGCGTATGCCCAGAACCCAGCCCTCTATTCATTCCAGGCAGTCATTCAGATCCCCTCCCCCAGTTCACCCTGCCTCCCCACAGCCTTCTTTAAAGCAAAGTGGTCCTTTGTCTCCGCAGCCATCAGTGCGAAGGCTGCAGAGTAGAACTCCATCTCCACAACCATTGCAACGTCAGTCTCCTCTTCCCTCACGTTCAGCCTCTCCTATACATCCACTATCTCACCCACCGCTTCCCTTGCATAACAGGGGCATGAGTCCTCAGAGTCTGGGGCCTACACCATTCCAGCATCCAGTGCTTCACCCAGGTCAGGAGGTCACCCAGTATAACTACACTATGATGGAGCCAGGTCCAACACCAATGCTTACAAATGCTTTACCAAATCCTCAAATGATAAATGCCCCCATTCCCCCCTCTCCTCATGTATCCTCCATCCCTTTCTCCACTAATGTAAACCCAACCCTCCTACAGAGGCCATCCTCCCCCCAAACACAGTATGACGTCTCATCAACTTTTCAAGGACATATGCTCCAGAGCCCCTTTATTCAGGATTCAGGTGTGACCACATCTTTACAGAGAAGCCTTTCTCCGGCACCTGGTTGGCAAGGAGAAACAGTGGCTGAAAGGGTTAGCCAGGAGGGAGGCCCACTTGCTACTCCTTTTCTGTCAAATGCTTTAATGCAGAGCTCTCACCTGCGCAGTGCCTCCTACATATCTCCTCTTCAACGTAATGCCAACGTCTATACAACGGTCCTCTCATCTCCTTCAGCTTCCTCCACACCTCACCTCCCCTCGCCCCTTCAAGGACACCTTTCTCCCATGTCTTCCGCTCCTCCTCTGACCACACCTCAACAAGGGCCAATTAGAGGAACCTCTCCTTTTCTCTCTGGTGGATTGCAGACCTCCCAAATTCAGAGTTCAATGTTAAGAATTCCAGGTGGCACTTTTGCAATGTCTATGGGCACTGCAGGGCCTCATGTTCCCTCTGATGCTGGCTTTGGTGTTGCTACTGATGGGAGGCTATCACCCTCCATGATTACAAATGCCCTGCAAAACCCAAGTCTACGTCAGGCCACCTACAGACTACCTGATGGCTCACTGATCACTAGAACTGAAGTGACTGAATCTTCTCCAAGTCATTTACCCCATTCATCACCTATGTTATCGCCTGCTTTGCTTAATCCTAGGTTGCAACAAGCAACATATCGTTTACCTGATGGCACAATTGTAAGCAGGACAGAGGCCTCACCTGCACACTCCCCTTCCACGTCTATGCTTTCCTCTGCACTATTGAACCCCAGTGTACGTAAGGCCACATATAGGCTACCAGATGGGACTTTGGTAAGAAGTAATGAGCAAACATCTGAGCTGGCCACCACTTCCTCTTCTGTGCTCTCCTCTGCTCTTCTCAACACTAATGTTCGTAAGGCCTCTTACCGATTACCTGATGGTTCATTGCTATCACATCCAAGAGACGAGATGCAGACTGCTGAAAGTGCAGTTTCGTCCCCAGGTTTAACAAGTGCTTTGTTGAATGCTAACCTGCGAAAGGCAAAGTTTCAACTTCCAGAAGGATCTTCATTGTTTGCAAGGAATCAAACCCAGTCTGCCCCCTCAGGCCCTCTCCTTTCTGGTGCCATGCTGAACTCAAGCCTCCGTGGTGCCTCCTACAAACTCCCAAGCACATCATTGCTGAGGCAGCCTGGTTCTGCTGATACCTCAAAGTCACGCTCTCTTGACCTTTCTAATGCCCTCCGAAACCAGAACCTCCGTTCAGCCTCCTACCGTTTGCCTGATGGGACTCTGACGACTCGCCCTCAGCCTGCAGCAGCACCCCGAACCCTTGACTTATCGAATGCTCTATCAAAAAACCCAAACCTTCGTGATGCAAAGTACCGCCTCCCTAACAGTAATGTCCTTATGAGGCCAGGTGTCCCTAGCAAACCAGAACCACGCTCACTTAGTCTCTCCGGTGCCCTCCAAAACCCTCAACTACGGGGGGCTTCTTTCCACCTGTCCTCTTCTTATGCCGTTGTGTCACCCCAGGTCCAAGGACCTGGTCCTGACCAGCACTGGGCACAAGGACCTGGAGTTGAAGGTTTGGGTCTGGAACAAGATGTGGATGTTTGGGGTGCAGAGAAGGCTCTACCTCCCGGGACAGTGCAGAACCTCAACAAGTGGTCTTTGTATAGAGATGGAGAGCTGCTGGACCCCCATAGCCTGATGAGACAGGGACAAGGAGGGCCTGAACCAGGTGTATGGAATCTCAGCAGGGAGGGGGAACCACAGGGGCAATGGTTTGACAGGGTAATTCTTTAAGAATATTTAATTCAGTTCATTTCAGACTTTTATTTTGTAAGGGACTTTGAAGTTACCTTTATTTCCAATGCTGTTGAGATTACAGTTATAGTTAGAGCAAGAAAAACAAGAGCACATATAAAACAGTCACAAAAACATGGAAGCATCAGAATCTGAGACACAGAAGTGAAAGATCAGAGTAGAGTAGTTTTAGAGAGTGTTCAGCAGAAGCACAAAGGACTTAGAGTCTTAGTCAATCAGTAGGACAAACGTGAATTCCTGAATTCCATTGCTTCAAGATTGTTATGTAAGGAGGTAGCTTAGCCCAAAATGCATAAGATTGTGGCAGTGAGAATTTGCACCCACAGCATACTGTAAATAAATGGCAAACATGACACTGCGCCCCTCAGTTGTTGAGAGATAAATCACAAGCATAGTGGTAAAGTATGAGGGCTTTAAAATGTTCAACCACTGGCCTTTTAGTCACCTCTCATAAACAAAAACAAATCAATGTTCTTTCGGGCACGTTGTCTCTGCTATTTTGTAGATCAGAATTTTTTCAGTGATTAATATCATGTCATCATTGACTCGTCTGAATTGTGAGGGGGAAAATATTGTCACTTCATCCCAATGTTTCATAATCACGACTTAAAAACAAACTGCTTTTTTAGAGTTAACATGGCAGGAGTCCAGGAGTTAACCTGGTGTTCTGGGAAAATCTGCTTCAGTATCTTCAGGCAAAGACAAGAAAATTCCAAATCTGAAGAAATATATATATATACAGATATATGTATATATTCTGTTGTATGAACGTTAATGTTTTAGTTTCTCTTTTCTGAATTTGAATTTGTGTGTTTTTGTGGTAGATGTACTTCATTAGAAGCCTGCCAATCATGGATCACCAGGAGCAACCAGAAGAAAATGGAGTGGAGGACATGACTCAGCTGGAGTAAGTAAAAAAAGAAAGAAAGAAAAAACGTTGTTTTAGGAAAAGGAAGTGGTTCTGCTTTTGAGATCTTCAGGGTAAAAATCAAAAATACAGTTTGGTATTCTGCCTCTGTCCAGGGAAATGCATGAAGAGGCTGTTCTGATGAACCTGAGAAGAAGATTCGAGAGAGAGCTTATTTATGCAAGTATTCTAGCAACGCTTGTGCATAACACAAAACAATACTTCAGAACTATGTCAATGTTTATGTAATATACTAATGTTTTCATGTTTGTTTAATTTCTCTCTACTCCCTGGATATTTCAGACCTACATTGGTAGTATTCTGGTGTCTGTGAACCCCTATAAGATGTACAACATCTATGGGATGGACATGGTGCTACTGTACAAGGGTCGTGCTCTGGGAGAGAACCCCCCGTGAGTTCAGTCAAACTTTTAGCAAAGGGAAATGTGAAATAAAAGGACTAAAACAAGCAGGCAAGGGTGGGGTCAGATAAATAAGACAGAAAAAGGAAGAAAACTGTTTTTGCCTCTTGAGTTTTTAGTGATTTATTTCTTGGATGAAACTACTCTCTCTCTCTTTTAGGCATTTGTTTGCCATAGCAAATGCTGCTTATTCCAAAATGATGGATGCCAAACACAACCAGGTCATAATAATCAGGTAAGAAGCTGACTATCCCTCCTATTTTCAGTCCTCTAAATTTGTTCATCTTAACACTTGAGTTAGCTAATGTTGTAGTTTAACTGGGCAGCACCCATGAGTTCAGCTCTAGAGCGTTTCCAGCTGTTATGTTTATGAGCTCACTGATGTTGTCCTGCTTCAGTTCTTTCCTCTGTCTCGTCCTCTTACTTTATTTATACTGCTCCTTTTTTATTTGCTTCTATTCAGTGGAAATGTACAATGAAAAAAAACAATTGATAAAATTCGTGTTTTTAGCTTTAGCAGCCGCTCCAGACCAGGAAACTGTTCCCTTTAATTAACTAGTGTGGTTTGGTCTATTCATTAAGTTGCAGTGACATAAAAACGGCTGACGATGTTCTTGCACGCTTTAATAATTAAGTTTGGGTTTGCACACTGCCGGTTTGTTTCTCAGTCTTGTGTTTGATTGCTCCTTTGTTATTAAGAAGATTTTATTGATTGTATCTATTGATCGTTTATAAACATCTTACAGAGTGGGAATATTTGAGCTTTTCCCACATGTACTTTCACACGCACTAAAAGTTAGACTCATGATAATCCTATTATATTATCACCAGAGCCATTGTTCACATATATATGAACAGGTAGTTGTTCCATTTTGCACACAGAAACGAGGTGTGGCTACGTGGCCCAGGGAAACCTAATAAGCATATATATATTTACAGTCTGACTTTAGGCGCGCCTTAACCTGGGGTACTGGTATCAAGTTTTGATTTGTTCTTGATCTTTAGAATAACCTCAGAAAGAGAGAGAGAGCTCAGACAGATGAGTGATAGATTCTGCCACCATCCACAGAAGAGGAGAGACAAAAACTGACCGTGTTTTGGACACACTGAAGGTCCAGATGTACCTCCGTTTGAAGCTGTTTCCCATCAGCAGCTCCATCAGTGCGTCTGCTGTAGACCAGTGTGTGCTCAACGGCAGCTATAGAGACTGAACGTGTGAGAGAGAGAGAAGCCAGGTGTGAAACAAAGGAGCCCAGAGCACAAATAATAGAGCTCAGATTCACTGATGAAATAAGAGTTTTAGCAGAACAACGTATGATGGTGTGACTACAGACTGTGACTCATGATCTGTATATATTCATCCTGCTGGAATCACAGTTTGTACTTTGCATGAAGATGTGCAGATCAGTGAACATCATTGAGAACATTGTTGGAGCCGCCCATATGAGCGTGGTATCATCACCAAACTTCAGCAGTGAACAGATGAATATAATCAGAACATCTTCATACCGAGTGAAAGCAGCAGCAACACTGAGGCGAGTCTCTGTGGAGATTACCAGAAACCTTTCTCTCTCTCTCTCTCTCTCTCTCTCTCTCTCTCTCGGCTATTTCTTGTTTTTTTTGTCTCGTCTGTCACCAGAGGGGCGTTTCGTATTCATTGGTTTTGTGTTCAAGACTTTGACCTTGACATACAAGGTGTCCATGACTCTTCTCGGACAGTACGGGTTCCCCCTCCAGTACCGTCTGTGTTTTTGTGAGACAGGGCCACCCATCACTTCTTCCTCTCCTGGTCTATGTGTCCCATGTAGGGATGTAAACTGTACATGGATCATACATCAGCACATAAGGGAAGGGCGTTTCCACCCAAACCAGAGGAACAGACACACACAGACACTTTCACACGCACTTCCAACACTCTGGCCGTATTTGGAAAGAGACACCTGAAAGAAAAGCCCGATGGAGTCTGAGCCAGGAGCAGATTCTGTTTCAGAGTCATACATGTGTGCCAGGAGTGTTCAGGAGCAAACCCTGAGTGTGTGTGTGTGAGTGTGTGTGTGAGTCAGTGAGTGTGTGAGTCAGTGAGTGTGTGAGTCAGTGAGTGTGTGAGTCAGTGCGTGTGTGAGTCAGTGAGTGTGTGAGTCAGTGAGTGTGTGAGTGTGTGAGTCAGTGAGTGTGAGTGTGTGAGTGTGAGTGTGTGAGTCAGTGAGTGTGTGAGTCAGTGAGTGTGTGAGTCAGTGCGTGTGTGAGTCAGTGAGTCAGTGAGTGTGTGAGTCAGTGAGTGTGTGAGTCAGTGATTGTGTGAGTGTGTGAGTCAGTGAGTGTGTGAGTCAGTAAGTGTGCACGTTATGGGGTAACAGAATTCGGTGTTCAGTGACCAGTAATGAGCAGATCTTCAGCTATCAAGACTCTGTTATAAAACCTTATGCTGGACTGTGGTTAAGGTGCTGGTGTCCCACACACACACACACACACACACACACACACACACACACACACACACACACACACACACTGCTGTCACATCACTTAGTCAATTAAGAAAAAGACAACAAGCAGTGAAGGGGTGAGAGGGATCGAATACTGGCCGCTCTTAAGTGATTAAAAAAGCCGTGTGGAACAGCGCCGTCGGAGCAGAGAGAGTTCAGTGACCTCTCAGTTTCCTCATAACGGGGTTTTCCACTAAATGACCTGACGGACGTCTTTACGTGTTAACTTCAGGTTCATGTACGTCGTGTCTTTAAGTGTCTGTAACTGTGTTTCAGTGGAGAGAGCGGATCAGGGAAAACAGAGGCCACCAAACTCGTCCTTCGATACCTCGCAGCAGTTCATCCTAAATGTAATATTGCACATCAGGTATGCACGTACATCTACACACAAAGACTGTTCCAGAAGGTGGTTTACGGCTCTGAGAACCTCGTTGTCCTTGTCTCTGTCTCTGCTGGCTCTGGTTGGATGCAGATTGAGGTATCGGGGCTCCTGCATGACTTGTGCTCTAAGTTTTTCCACCTGTCGTCTCAGATCATATTGTCTTGATGTTGTGTTTTGCTGTGGTGTCACTGTGGTGTGTAACTGTATCTATTAGAGTTGGATCTTCTTTTACCTGCTTTAGATATCTGACTTGTTTTAGTTCAGGATTAAAAATGTTCCTGGTGATTCGACAGAGCCACTTATTTTTTCATCTGCTTGATTAAACGTCTGGGAGTTCAGACATTTAGAGCGGGGTAAGATGATCCATGTTTCCGGATCAGTCCATCAAGTCGACTTTTACCCAGTGTCACTGTGTCCCTCGTTATTACTCATTATTTCATTTATGATGACGCCTGGATGAGGGTCGGACTGGCCCCGCCTCGGGCGCTGAAGTTGTCGCCGGCTTCTTCAGGGGTGAAATACAGAAATACAACAAAATCTACCTTTTTATTTATTGATCATGTTTTAGATAAAAAGAAGTTCACCCTTCACACCAAACGTGACGGTGTTTGCTCTGGTTTGTTGTTTCTTGTTGACACATTAGAACACAGTAAATAAATGTGTGTTAGTAAATGTCCAAATAAAGTCGATTTGATAAATCAGGACTTAAACTCACCGAGGTTTATTGGACTGAATCTGTGTTTCTGCTCTCTGCTGTTTTATGGACCTTTCATATTTTCACTATTTTTAACCAATAATGGAGAGTTCTGAAGGTGTTCTGATCCCCGTGTGTTTGACAGATACTTGAGGCAGGCCCTCTACTGGAATCTTTTGGAAATGCCAAAACTGTTCGGAACGATAATTCCAGTCGCTTTGGGAAATACATCGAGGTCTTTCTGGAGGAGTGAGTATGAAGCCCGAACACAGAAACAGTTCCGATCATTTTATATCATTTTATCCAGTTCTGACCTTTTTCTGTCGACTGTCGTCTTTCTGTAGATTCATAATAAAATAATAAAATAACAATAATATAAATAATAAAATAATAATAATATAAATAATAAAATAATAATAATATAAATGAAACTAAAATAATAATAATATAAATAATAAAATAATAATAATATAAATAATATATATAATTATAAAATAATAATAATATAAAAAATAAAATATAATACTATAAATAATAATAAAATAATAATAATATAAATAATAAAATAATAATAATATAAATAATAATAAAATAATAATAATATAAATAATATAAATAATTATAAAATAATAATAATATAAAAAATAAAATAATAATAATATAAATAATAATAAAATAATAATAATAATAAAAAAAAATAATAATAATAATATAAATAATAAAATAATAATATAAATAATAATAAAATAATAAGAGATTCAGAGAGTAAATTCTTACAGTTTAATCTATTTCTAATCTGCTGCCTCTCTCTCTCTCTCTCTCTCTCTCTCTCTCTCTCTCTCTCTCTCTCTCTCTCTCTCTCTCTCTCCCTCCCCCCCACAGTGGTGTGATCAGCGGTGCCATAACCTCTCAGTATTTGCTCGAGAAGTCACGGATTGTCTTCCAGGTGACACACACACGCACACACACACACGCACACACACACACACACACACACACACACACTCACACACACACACACACACACACACACACTCACACACACACTCCTCTTCTCTGTGTTAAATCTGTTTCCGTCTCTTCAGGCCAAAGATGAGAGGAACTATCACATCTTCTACGAGATGTTGGCAGGTCTTTCCTCGCAGCAGAGGCAGGCTTTCTATCTGCAGGACGCTGAGACCTACTATTACCTCAACCAGGTAGGAGACATGAGACCTACTATTACCTCAACCAGGTAGGAGACATGAGACCTACTATTACCTCAACCAGGTAGGAGACATGAGACCTACTATCACCTCAACCAGGTAGGAGACATGAGACCTACTATTACCTCAACCAGGTAGGAGACATGAGACCTACTATTACCTCAACCAGGTAGGAGACATGAGACCTACTATAACCTCAACCAGGTAGGAGACATGAGACCTACTATTACCTCAACCAGGTAGGAGACATGAGACCTACTATTACCTCAACCAGGTAGGAGACATGAGACCTACTATTACCTCAACCAGGTAGGAGGCTCGGGCGGGACCGTGAGGACCAATGACTCCAGATGATGTTTTTTCTCTTCTTACAGGGAGGAGATTGTGGGATCACAGGAAAGAACGATGCAGAGGATTTCCTGCGTCTGTGTGCCGCCATGGAGATCCTTCACTTCACCCCTGAGGACCAGTCGGCGGTCTTCAGAGTTCTTTCTTCCATCCTGCACCTCGGCAACGTCTACTTTCAGAGATATGAGGTAGGACTTTCATCTCAGCGGTTACCTCTGTATGTCGACTCACTGTCAGCGCTCTTTGAATGTCTGACGGTTTTACTCTTTTTCCTGTTTTGTACTTCAGGCTGATGGCCAGGAGGTGGCGTCAG